AAATTTATTTTTTTCATGTATGGGTTATTTATCAGTGTGTGTCTACTTTCCAAATATTTGGGGATTTTCCAGTAATTTTTCTGTTATTGATTTGTAATTTATCTCTTTTGTGATCAGAGAATATACTTTGTATTATTTGAATCAATTTAAATTTATTTAGACTTATTCTATGGTCTAGAATATGATCTGTATTTGTTTACTATGGTGGCTGTAATAAACTAGCACAAATTTGGTGGCTTAAGATAACACACATTTATTCTCTTATAGTTCTGGTGGTCAGAAGTTCAAAATTGGTTTCATTGGACCAAAACCAAAGTGTTACTAGGATTGTACTCTCTTAGGGAGGTCCAAGGGGAATCTGTTTCCCTGCCTTTTCCAGCTTCAAGATCTGTATTCCTTTCATTCCTTGGCTCACGATCCCTTCCTGTCTTCAAAGCCAGCAGTGTAGCATCTTTAAATCTTTCTATGCTTTTGTGGTCACATTGCTTTCTATTTTCTATCTGTAGTGAAATCTCTCTGCTTTCCTCTTATAAGGACATTTGTGATTGTATTTAGAGCCTGCCCAGATAATCCAGGATAATCTCTCCATCTTAAAATCATTAACTTAATTATACTATAATGCTACTTTGCTAATAAGATAACATGCACAGGTTCCAAGGATTAGGATCTGGATATCTTTGGGTGCTATTATTCAGCCTACCACATGGTCTATCTTGGTAAATATTCCATGTGCACTGGAAGAGTATGTATTCTGTTGTTGATGGGTGGAGTGTTCTAAACATGTTAATTTCATCTAGTTAATAGTGTTGAAGCCTTCTGGATCCTTATAGATTTTCTGCTAATTGTTCTATTGAAAAATTTCTGGAGAAGTGTTGAAATCTTCCCGTTATGATTGTGGGTTTGTCTGTTTTGTCTGTTCTTTTTATTTTTGTTTCATATACCTTGAAGCTTTAGTTGTAAAGGTATACACATTTAGAATTGTTGTATCCTGTTGATGACATATTCTTTGTTCTGAAATATGCTTTCTTTGATATTAATATAGCTACTCCAGATTTCGATTTGTATTGTCATGATATATCAAACTTTTAACCTATCTGCGTCTTTATTTGAAGCAGATAGACACTTGGAGACAGCATATAGTTGGGTCTTCCTTTTTTTATTCAACCTCACTATCTCTGTCTTTTAATTGGAGTGTTTGGACCACTTACATTAAATGTTATTATCGATGTGATTAGATTTAAAGCCACTTTTATGCTATTTGTTTTCTCTTTGCTGTTCTTTATTTCTGTTTTCCACATTTCCTG